TCTCCACATCTCTCATGATCGAATCTGCCTATAACTGTAAATTGCACTTATTTTTAGTAACACTGAAAACTGCCATCTTTTGTTTCACCTGGTGACATGTACATTTGCAAGCCATAAAAAAGGACAAAAACTCAGCTAGAGTTAACTGTTTTGTTTTGGGTTTTTGGGACTCATTTACATTTTCTAAAATAGCAAATGACATAATAGTCCTGTTGCTGAGGGTTTGTTGTTGTGACGGCTTCTTTTTGATATGATGTGTATGTGCACCACAGTGGTTTCTCTTTATCTGTTCTCTGCTAAAACAAATGTGCCTGGAGTCTTATTCAAAGCATAAAGCATGCTGAAAATATTTGTTTCACTTTGAGATTCTTTGTTTTTGATAGCTTCTGCAATCAGAAAAACCTGGAACAAAAACAGTTATTTTTGGCCAAACCAGATAATCAGTGCATTACTTTAAAGGCTCTAGTGGCAACAGTGTACTACATCAGTGTACTGTACGGTTTACATCAAATGGAATATAAATTGTACAAATGTCTGTTTCTGTACAATAAAGTACATGAGCCACTGACTGTACAATGATATCAACTGTACTGCTCTGTTAATTCCATGACAGATCTTTACATAACATCAACAGCATTTATGCTATTCCACCAATATTAACCAGCAGAGCACCACAGTGTTGACTGTTAACAAAATGTCAATGCTGACAGCCTCCTGCCAACATAGTTGCATTTTCCATGAATGGAGGATTACCAGTGTTGCTGTAAACAAACCTAGGTGTGTAGGGTTTCTCACATTTTCTCATCTCAGCTTGACTTCAGAGAGGTTTTTTTAGGAATCAAAGAAGTCCTTTGACACAAATACTTTTGGATTATGCAATGAAGTTTCAGCAGATAGAAAATGAAGGAAACCTAGTATTCTGAATGCAAAGGTAAAGACTTGATGCAGCCATGTCAGACAGGATTTGAAGGGTAATCAGCAAACACAAAAAAGATGGAGTAAAATACACATAAATGTATATATACAGTACAGGCCAAAAGTTTGGACACACCTTCTCATTCAATGCGTTTTCTTTATTTTCATGACTATTTACATTGTAGATTCTCACTGAAGGCATCAAAACTATGAATGAACACATGTGGAGTTATGTACTTAACAAAAAAAGGTGAAATAACTGAAAACATGTTTTATATTCTAGTTTCTTCAAAATAGCCACCCTTTGCTCTGATTACTGCTTTGCACACTCTTGGCATTCTCTCCATGAGCTTCAAGAGGTAGTCACCTGAAATG